GCTACCATAACCACCATGGCTCGCTTCTCTCTACTGTACTTACGTACTGCGCGCGACTCTTTCTCACTTCGGTCCTGAGCCAAAGCCTTCCGGGTTCGCACTGCTTCAGCTCGTGCTTGGACACTTCCTACTGCACCACTACTTCATTCTCTACACAGTACACGGTACACAGTGGCAGTCTAACAACAACGCCAGCGTCAAAAACTCAACATCACGCAAGTCCACTTTCAGGGCCGAACAAACACAAAACAAAGGACGCGTCACAGTTCCCCCACAGTAAAGGGTGCCGTCGGCTGTGACGACAGTCGCTTGCTTTCAACCTACCCTTGTAAGCGTGGAGGGTTTTCTGCAGGTGGCCAACATTGCGGCCATGCTTGCTTTTGGCTGCTATTGCTGCACAGTTTTTGGCGCACCGGCCCAGCTTCCAGCCTCTGTGGCTCTGGCGGCATGCAACCAGTGCCCTGAGCGTGAGCAGCTGTGTGCTTGCTCCCTGCATGCTATGGACTATGTCTTCCAATTCCCACTTCCACCACAGCAAGGAGCTGGTCTGCAGGCCACAAGGAAGAGCAATGTCAGTGCTCTTCCGCACTCGGTCAACTCTCCTTGATTTCCACTTGGTAGATTTCTTGGATTTTCATTTCTACAGTCAGGGCGCGGAACTTGAGGACGCGAAGCAAGAAAGCCGCTGCGAGAAATACAAACGATGCTTCCATGCCTGCGCGGCTACAAGATTGCTGTTCGAGTTGCGGACCGGCTTAGTTTTGGCACGTTTGTTTTTCGGCTGTTTTTTCTCCAGACCTCCAGATGTTTTTTTTCTAGACTGTGCGATCTTTTTTCGCTTTTTGTTGACACCCGCGGTCCAGAAACAGACTTTGATTTTTTTCGGCCACAGGTAGAGGCCAGAAAAAAGACAAGTTGGGGCCGGAAAAAAGATCAAATTCTTGCTTTGTCATGTGTGTGTTTCAATTTCTACAATTTCATTTTATTTTCTTTGCTTTTGCCCCCTAAAGCGACATAGTGTGGCTTCTTCTACCTTCGTGAAAACGTTTTTGTTTGATTCTATTTTCAGTGACACAGTTTGATTTCTTTCGTTCGCTTCTCCTCTAAAGCGATTTCGTGCTTTTTCTTCTGTGTTTGAGATTTGAAGATAGTATGGATAAGTTGGTTTTGTCCAGCAAATGTAGCGCATTGTTGTGTTGTTTGATATGTCATGTGCGCGTGCCTCTATCTTTCGCAGAGGTCAGAAAAAAGACCTGAGAGGCCCAGAAAAAGATCCACCGGGGTCCGAAAAAAGACACGGGGTCAGTTACGAGATGTTTCGGGGCCGAGAAAAAGACGGCTTAAATCGTTGAGTGGAGGTTGAAAAAAAGATCGTAGTCTATTTCTAGACCTCGTCGCGGGGCTGAAAAAAGATGGAGGTCGGAAAAAAGACATGCCGGGGTCGAAATCAAGATGGATCAAGCGCGTGGTCTGAAAAAAAATTTCGGGGTCGAAAAAAAAAAGCAGCCCTTTGTTTTTGGCTGTCTCTTGCCCTTACCTCGCCCGCAAGTTCGGAAGAGTTGGGCTGGTTCTCGCACAGGCCGAAAGGAGGCGGACGCCCGCCGTCTGAGGGCAGTCTTACAGGTTCGTCCTCGGGCAGAACCGCTTCCTTCATGCAGTTTATGTGGAGTCAAAGGTGAAGCAGGCTAACAGCAAGAACCGAGATCGGCGCAAGGAGCAGCAGCAAAGTAATCGGCTTAATCCCATCGAAATTGCGCCAGTGGCTTCATGACCTGCTTGGAGGTGTCGCCACGATGGAGGCCAGTGCTCGCTGGGAGTTTCCTGCCACCAGTTGGAGCGTGTCAAGGTTGGAGGCTGCGCCCGGATTCGACTTTGAGCGGGCGGACTCCGTTTCATCATCGCCTATTGATTCGGGAATCGGCGAACCTGCAGGGTTTAGGGGAGCTGTGGTGTCCATTGCACTTCAAAGAACTGTACAAAGCTACGGCTGATAACCTCGCTGGACATCTTTCAGCAGGTCCTACAGCTCGAGCGTGCCCGAGTGCCGCTCGCCTTCGGCATGCCCGTCCACCCGCACACCCGCCCTGTGGCGCGACCACGATGCCACTTTGGTGTCGAGTCCCACAAGGTGATGTGCTTCTTACAAGCGTGCGGAGCAGTATACCCCGCGGGGGGCGCTGGAACGAGACTGGCATTTGTCGCCCTTGCTAATCAGGCAGGAATTCATGGAATTGGCTGCCCTCATGGGACAAACCTTCTGCCGGCAGATTGCCGCACAGATTAACGACCCTGATGGGCTGCTCATCAGCCACATCGCTGCCGTCCTGGCTGCACGTGCGTCCCGGCGCAGTTCCCTTGGCGTGCTCGGCTGTGCAGGAGCTTCGAAAACCTTCTCCCTCTGGTGTGCTCTGTTTTGTCTGGATGCTGTCATGGACCAGAAGGTGGTGTGGACTTCGCAGCAGCACGCTGCGCTTATCGTGATACGCATGGCGGTAAACCTGCTGCGAGATGCACCCAAGTGGCTACGGCCACACTTGGTCGTGCGGCGGGTATCGGGGGACGCAGAACTATAGTGAGTGTCGACCATGACCACGTACCCTTCACGCACGCTGCCGAGAGGAAGGATGGACCCTAGGGGAGATAGCTATATGCCCTCCCAAGCAACCGCTCCGCCTATTGTATCCGCTAGGATGCTCCTCCTCACACAAGGGTCAACTGCACCACAAATGCGATATCCCGGTTGGAACGCAGTGTACGCCATTTTGAAAAGTGCGCACATCCTTGTTATCGATGAGGGCCAGCAGGAGGGCCACCCTGAGTCCGTCGCCGTCGTCCCGGGCACTGTGGGCCAGCTAGTTATCCGCACGGCGACCCTCGCCGTCCAGATCAGTACACTGTGTAGGCTCATTGCCAAGCCGGCCGGCATCCCTACGGACCTGCCCAGCGCCTTGCAGGCCCTGGATTAGGCAGGCCACAAGACAGGGAGGGTCCCTGCATCGGGCAACGTGGCAAAGCCTACAGCACCGTCTGCTGGCACATGGAATTGGTGTCCCGCCGGTTGGTGCTACCGTGGGGATGTCCAGTCACCTCGGGTCCTTGCTCCTGGAGGATGGGCAGTCGATGGAGGGCAGTTTCGTGGAAGACTGTGGCCGCAGGGGGGATGCAAAGTCCGTTTCGGTGACAGGATTTGTTTGTTCCGTATGTTGGGATAGTGCGTGTTGGTGATGTGGATTGCCCTCCTCCGAAAAGGGTATAACCCCGGAGGCGCTAGCTGTGGATTTCCTGGCCCAGGGCTCGCATCGTGGCGGGTGCTTGCTACGTTGTCTCCATCGTTTGTCCGCGGTGCACGCGGAATTCGCAACTGCTGGCACGGCACTCGAAGCTGAGGGTTTAGCCCCTATTACAATGGGATCTGCCTGAATCTTGCATTGGTTTCCTCGGTCCGGTTGCTCACGGAGCTATATCTCCTCATTACGGCCATCAGATACCCGCAGTCAAATCGTTGGACTATCGCACAGTGTGCGTTTCGCAGTCGCACGCCTGGCAGAGGTAAAAGCCTCTCGAGGCTATTTTCCAGTGGTGGCTCTTGCCACTGCCAGGTAGTCAGTGCAGGCACCAGTTTCCTGTGCCTGCACGTCTTCCTCATCCCGTCCTGCAAAGGGCAAGTTCAAAAAGCCACGCGAAGTCAGGTGGAAAAGGTCGCCCCAACTCCGGCAAGGGCAAGGGGAAAGGAGAGCGAGGAGCGGAGGAGGCAGGAACTAGGCGCGCTACGACCCCTAGGACCTCTAGAGCCGGCTATCCGGCTCCGCTACCAACTTGATCTTCCCCCAAATGCAACCAAGAAGCAGGAAGAAGGGAGAAAGAAGAGGAGCGGCGCACGAAGTCCTCAGAGCGCTGTTTTCTACGAGCAATGCTGGTTAGAAAACGTAGCGATAGGCTTTGCCTGGGCAAAAGAAGATCCCACCCTTGGGCCGGCACGGCCGCGGTTCACCTGCAGCGTGCTTCGGCTGGTGGGACTGATTTGCGGGACGCAAAATCCACAGTCTGTTTTCTGACCACTGCAGATGACCAGGAACGCCACCGTACAGTGAACACATTTCTTGACACACTCCACCTTCTAACTCAAACCCTGAGCCCTCCCCCAAACAAGAGCGTAGGTTCTGTGATCAAGCATCTGCCCTGTTGCAACAACATCGCAGCCAGAGGGGCTTTGTATTTGTTTGCTGAATGACAGCGCAGCAAGAGATGGCAACCCATCGCCATCGAAGGAGTTCGCCTATGTCCAACCGGAACCCGTTAACGAGTGGATCCCGACATGAGGCGCCTGATGTGATCTAGGGCTAGATTCTACTACGCGGATGTACTGGGGAGGAGGCTGGCTGTATGCAAGAGTGGCCAGGATGACCTCCAGACTTGGTTGCATAGTCACCATATGAACGAATATGCCGAAGACGAAATTCATCAGAGCTTTCTTGGCCTGTCTTAACGGTTGGCTTTCCACATTCCAAGTGCAGTTTTGTTGTGCAAGCCGGCATTGTACTCCTGCAGCGATCGCAGGAAAGTTTGGGCAGAGCACCGTGAAGATGTTGTGCCTCGCCCCCGCCGGCTCTGAAGGAAAGGAAGAGTGGAGAGCAACGTGTAACGCACATTGTCTGTTAAAAATACAGACGCAACAGGTAGAAGTATTCGCCTGCCTTGTTGGCATACACCTAGTTAATAGCGTGTGCTCATGTGGTCGTTTCTTCTACAACGCTCAAAGAATTGATATCCACCGTGCAGCAGCCTTGCGATCACTGTTCCGCGTCTCCTGCTTCCCCATTTTGGAGCCTTCAGCCTTTGTTAATTGCTTCTGTTGTTGAGGATGCGGAGGTCTCTAGCTTAAGGTGTTGGGTCCGTGCTTCATGGAGTCATGGGATTTGCCATCAGAACGCACCTGCGAGCTTTTTTGTCCCTCCACAGTTCGCCTGCCGAGGCTTTGCAGAGACCAGGTGCTTCAATCGATGTCGTCAATTTCGCTTGGTGCAGACGAGTGCAGGATAGCGCTGGTGATTGGCCAGCAGGCTTATGTTGACGAGAAGTTCGTCAAGTTGAAGTACTGCCTCCGTGATATAGAGGAAGTGGAGTTCACGCTCACAGTTTCCTGTGGCTTCAAAGTCATACCATACAGAAATGCTACGCACAGCGACAGACATAATGATTTTCAGACACTCCAGAAGCTGCTTGTGCAAGCGATTCAACCTGCTAGGCGCGTCCTTGTTCTCGTATACTATGCCGGTCATGCAGTCAGCATTGCGGGGCAGAGTTATTTCATCCCGGTGGACGCAAAGCAAGGGGACGTTAGCAAGTATATCAACGTGTACAACTTCCTGCAGCCCCTCCACGACCTCATCTGCACTGTTAATCAGTCACGTGCACAGCGCACCGCAGAAAAGATGACTGCCGAGCCTGTGCCAGGGGCTGTCGTGCTTTTGATCCTGGATGGATGCAGGGATGCTCCACCAAAAGCAGCAACTGGTCTTCCTGCTAAGGAGCCTTCACCGGTGGGCTCAGAAGGGGGCCAGGCTGAATCTGCCACCATGAGCCAGATTGACATGCAGGACATGGTGCACAAATTGGCTTCTAGCAGACTCAAGGGGACCAACTCGCAGTTCTGTGTTTTCTTTGCATGCGATGATGGCTCCTGTGCGCGAGAATGTGAAACCTCAGAGCATGGTTTTCTTACTGAAGCCTTCCTGCACTGCATTGACGCATGTCCGGGCATTGGCCTTCGGGAGCTCTTCGAGAAGATGGCCTTGCGGTGTCAGCTGCGCACTAATTGTATGCAGCGCCCGTGGATCTACGACTGCTGCCATAGCCTATCTTGCGTAGTGCTCCATCAGCCCTGGCCAAAATCCGGAAGCTCAGATCCAGCGATGTCCAAAGAAGCAATCGAGAGATCATGCCCGGATGCTGCATTGAAATTGCTTCTCGACATGCTGAAGTCCTGCGTTGGCAACATCAAGGGCATTACCAAGGCTGGTGAGGTGCTTGATCCTGAAGAGTTGCAGACCCAGATAAAGCTGGTGCAAGATGTGGTTGCCCGCCTGCTCCAACAAGAAGGGCTTCGTCAAGAAGCAATGTCTGTTGCGGTTGACCTTTTGAGAGGTCTTCAATGCTTGCTTCCAAATCATCGAGCTGTGCCCGCTTTGATGACTCGGGTGCGTGCCTGTGCCTGGCAGGAAGCTGCAAGGCGTCTCTTCGGCGGCACTCCTGTGGCCAGCGATGTCCAGCGTGGCATTGATGAAGGGAAAGACCTCCTTCATCAAATGTCGGTCACGGTAGTGGTTGTCGGACCCACCTCGTCCGGCAAGAGCACCATGGTCAACGCACTTTTCGGACGCAAGGTTTGCCCAATGGGAAATACTCCCACCTCATTATTGCCCGTTGCCTTCACAGCAAACGCTTCAATTGCCAGCTTTCAAGTCATCCCACGAGGGCATGGACTTCGTGACTGCTTGGTCCACCAGCTGGAGGGCAAAGAGCTTCATAACCTCACTAGTGACGAGGCCCATGCTCTGATTGATTCTTGCGACGAGACCCTCAGAAAGCTCATCTCAGACAGCCAGCTTTGCCCTGAAAACTTGTCTGACTTCGCATCCTGGCACATTGAGGTCTTGGTGCCAGCACCAAGCACAATGGGATGCTTTTCACTTGTCGATTGCCCAGGTGGCTCAGAGGGAGGAAGGCTTGGCAGTGCTGCAAGTCAGTTGCTTCAACACCAAACGCGTGAGGCATCGCTTATTCTGTTGGAGCCATGGCTGTGAATCAGAAAATCTCCATGTATGCTTACACAAAATCTTACCGTAGAATTAGTAGAAGCGTGTATATTCGTGAAAACAGCAGTTCAGTTAAAAGCTTGCGCTGTTGTCGGGAGTCAGGGTCGAGAGCAAGACTGTCACCAGGTGAGCAAACCAGACAGCTTGGCGCCTTTTTCCGATCGCAACAAGGCCCTTGCCTTCTTTGGTGGCTCCTTCCCCAACAAGGATGTTTTTCTTATCATCACGAAGGTTGAGGGCTTTGCAGAGCGGACAAAGGCGGAGGAGTGGTTGGACCAGAACACGCCTTCCCTTCGGGACATGCAGGTCAAGCGACAGTATTTTATCAATGCAGGTGCCCTCTTAGCATACCAGATATGTCAAGAAAGAGGTTGGAAACTGTTGCCACAGCATGCGTCTACAGATTTCGAGCAAAACATCGAAGAGGTCAAGCTCTGTGTCAAGCCAGTCTTGCAAACCCTTGACGTCAGGGACGACGTTGAGGATTACAAATCAGAGCGTCAAAACGTGTGGAGAAAGCTGAATACCCTGCACAACAGGACATGGTCAGACAACAGCATCTTCAAAGATGAACTGGAAAAGCATGTTTGCCGCACATGGCCGGATTTGTTTTGCGGAAAAGTCCGAAGCTTCGTTCTGGATGCCTTGCGAAATCCGATTGTGCGACTTCGCCAAGCTATGCAAGAGGCAGAACTAGAGCAACAGGCCGCAAACGCGGCGAAGCACGGAGCACAGGAGTTCCTTCTCCAGAACCCATGGTGCAGCCAGGCTCAGCAACTGTGTTCTGAGGTGCGTGAGCTTGTGTTGGATCGCATCAATTTCTTCTGCGATTTAGTGGACGAAGGACCTACAGACTGGTTCGACCATGGCCACAGGAATGTACACTGGAACACAATAGAACAGATAGCTGATGCTGACGTAGCGGCTGCGTGTCGCAAGTGCAATCACCACGCAAGCAGCAGGAGCCACACACAAGGCATGCGCTTTGACACAATCACGGACGCAAAGCCCTTCCTGACAAGTTTCGGAAGGTGGGTATGCCAGCTGACACACACAGAGCTGGACAAAGTGTATGAACTGCTTCATAACGCATTCGAGCAGCTGAGGGCCCATGGCGTGCATTTACCCATGACCAGAGCCCGGCCGGGTGCCCATGACTCATCCCTCATGCACGTGCCAGATGGTGCTCTCCAGAGTGTTGCCCCGACAGACCGCGTGCTTCCTGTCGCATCCGTTGCCGGTGCAGCAGCGGGCAGCTCTGCAGCTCTTGGTGCTGTGGCAACCATCGCCGCCACGGCATTCGTTGGGGCGCCAGCAGCAATCCTGACCGTAGCTTACCGGGTAGACAAGTTTGGTGAGCGGTTCGTGAACGATGCGCTCTATGGGTGGTTCAAGCAGTTGTCCGGCAACGACTTCGTCAACATATGCGGAGAGCACTTGCGCAATGTTGCCGAGGAGGAAGTATCAAAGGAAATACAGAAGACCGAGAACGAGGTCTTGAGAGAACTTGAGCGGGCCAAGAATGCCTTGAACAGCGCAGCGGGAGAACGTGTGAGAGATGCTGAGGCATCATTGCAAGAGGCAGCGAACATGCTCGAGTCCACGACGCGTGCTCAAGAGTCACTTAGCCTGGTTCGTGTATGACGCCTGGAGGAGTACAGCGCGGTTGGGCCAGAGCGTGTATGCTTCATGAAGTTCATGGGAGCATCCGTACAGCGCTTTAGGCAAGCTCCAGCTTGAGAGAATGATAAAAAACGGCCGATCGTCGCACTTTCGCTTCTCCACCTAGGACTCACAGCAGCCTTGGAGTTAATGCAGACCACGGTAGGGGAGAAACATAGCCTTGTGCATTCTTGCTTTCAAGACCTTGCATCGTGTGCAGTACCCACTCCTAGATTTTGCGCAGTCTGCTTTACGCAGCTTTGAGGCCGAATCCCGCCGACAAAATCGTTGATGCAGCTCGCAAGGTTACGTAGCACGTTGATCTCATGTTGTTGCGACCTTAGACATCTGCACGGGAATCACATACTCCTGCCAGTGCAATTTGTGATGAGGTCGCTACGTTGCGGTGCGGTGGCCCTTGCAGGCCTTCAGATTTAAAATGCAATTGCCAAGACTGAACGTCCAAGTCGCAGGCAACCACCAATGCCACGACATTTTTGAGTTTTGCGGTGGGTGAGCTGAGATTTTGGGAACAAAAGAACCCGCCTGTTGTTTTTAACATTGCGGACGGCAAGAAGACACACGTATGAACGAAATAAAAAGATCCCAGTAAATAGATTTCTGATGAGCTTATGTGGGCAAAGTATGATGGGGTAAAATGGTAAAACATACAATAGACTTCCGAAGATTGGAGAATGCAAAATACGACAGGGTATCAGTGCTTCAACGCTTTATTGGTTACGTCTCGAACAGCCTGCAGGAGTTGGCCAGGAATGGCATATGTTTGACGGCGTGACTTATGGAGCTTCGCTGCATTTCTGAGGTCCACCACGCTACTAAACTTTGCTTGACACGGCCGTCTGTGTCTAAACAGGGACCCTGTGTATCCGCGCGTCACGACGCTTAGGCCATTTGATGTGGGAGGCATTTTGCTCCAGCACGTGATTTCGGCACATACCTGATCCTGTTGCCATGGCGACGATGCTAGGACTGGCCACTGGTCTTCAGGTGGGCATTCAAATCCACATTCCCATCTTAGGGTCCGGAGAGGTTTGAGGGTGCATCACCCCCGGCCTAAATCCCAGGCTTCAAAACTTCTCGTGGTTTTGGTTCAGGGTGTCGAGGGGTCAAAAGGGAACGTGGGTTTTCAGAAGTGTGGGAGGAGAGAGTTCCAGTTGTGGGGTTATGTTTCAATCGTTGGGCTCAGGGTCATACTGCAAAAACAAGAAAGCATGCTTGAGGCTGGGTTCCTGGCTTTGCAAAAGGCTTTGGGTTGTCGTGCATCGGCCACCTGGGCTTCGAGGTCATGTTCGCGATCGTGACGGCCGATGGAACCGGGACCACATCTGCCGGCTCCTGCTACAACATGCCACTCGGGCTCCGCGACTTTGAAGGTTTCGAGCTTTTCTAGTGAGACGTCGCAGCGGTAGCCAGCTTGTTGAAGGCTTCCACCTTTGAAATTTGAGGACGACGCACGCAGTGTCTTGCAACATGGCGGAGGTCGACTGCTCGGCTCCGCACATGTGGTACGGTCCCGGCTACGTCTCCCCGCGCAGTGGCTGCTGCCATTGCGAGGCATCCTGTGTGAACACATCGGGGAACTGCACTTACTACGATGCGGTGGAGGGCCCTCAGGACAGCTCCGCACCCAAGAACCGGAGCATCACCCAAAGCTCGTCGAAGCTTCAAATCGACATGCCTCACAAGTTTATGGCATCTCCACAGAATCTTGAATCGAATCGCAAGCCCTTGGACGGATGAGTTCAGCAATTGTAGCGGTAGCACTAGCGGTGGCAGTAGTAGTAGTAGTAGTAGTAGTAGTAGTAGTAGTAGTAGTAGTAGTAGTAGTAGTAGTAGTAGTAGCAGATATCGACCTGTAGTGCAAGGCGTGCCGCACAGTGCAGCATGGTACGGTTGATGTTGCACTCATTGTTAGTTCCTGAAGCATGGAGGAGAACTGGGGTTGCTATGAGCATTCCGCCCGCCAGTGCGATTGTCTTGTGTCGGAAGCCGGGTGCACAGCCAAAGGTGCAGGCCACACATGGACATCTGGATGCACTTCCTGTGCCTCACAAGGCTCTTGCTACGACATGACATCTCACAGCATCAGCTGCGATGTTCCCGAAACGTCGTGCTCGTCGCCGAACATGTGGTACGCACCGGGCTATGTCTCTCCGCGAAGTGGATGCTGCCACTGCAGGGCGTCCTGCAGAGAACCGGCAGACAATTGCACCTACAGCGATGTGGTAGCGGCGGAGCTGGAGGACTGCCCACCGCCCTAGAAGCGCAATGCCGAGAGTGAGCCAGCCATAAGCCATCATAAGCCCCCAGATGACTGAGTTTTGTGAGTTCCTGAAGCATGGAGGAGAACTGGGGTTGCTATGAGCATGCTGCCCGCCAGTGCGATTGTCTTGTGTCCGAAGCAGGCTGCACAGCCAAAGGCACAGGCCACACATGGACATCTGGATGCAACTCATGTGCCTCACAAGGCTCTTGCTACGATATGACATCTCACAGCATCAGCTGCGATGTTCCCGAAACATCGTGCTCGTCGCCGAACACGTGGTATGCACCGGGCTACGTCTCCCCGCGAAGTGGATGCTGCCACTGCAGGGCGTCCTGCAAAGAGCCGGCCGACAACTGCTCGTACAGTGATGTGGAAGCGGAGACCCAGAGAGACTGGGGATGCTATGACTCGTCCACAAATGCCTGCGATTGCGACACGACTGAAGCGGAGTGTTCCGGGTCCTGGACGCAGTCTTGCCGCAGCTGCAACGGAGAGGTGTCAACTTCTTCTGCAGGTCGTCCCAGAGGTTTCGTCCTTGCCCTGCTTGTGTTCCTCTACGGCTTCTTCGCAGCAGAAGCCAACACCGGCAGCGGCACAGGATGCTACAACGTGGAGACTCACCAGTGCGACTGCACAGTCTCCGAATCTACCTGCCATGCTCGGGGAGGCACCTGGACTGACACGTGTCGATCCTGCGATTCCACCACCAACGAGCAGCACCCCCAGTGCCAGAGGCAATACTCTTGGGGTTGCTTTGACGAGGCCAGTCATGCGTGTGAGTGCACCGTCTCCGAGAAAACCTGCGAAGCAGCGGCTGGCAAGACCTGGACTCATGAGTGCCTGGGTCTCTAAGCAATGCCGTCGTAGCCTTGCCATGCATGCTTGGTTTCGGAAAACAAGACGAAGCCCGTGTGCTAAGGTGCTGGTCCTGCTGCCACGGCTCTTCTTGGGGCTGCTTCGTGCCGGGGAATGGCGCCGAGTCCGGCTGCCACTGCAACTTGTCGTCCTAAGCTTCAGAGGAATGCCCATGAGAACGATCAGATGGAGCCACCTCCCAAGCCGACACGAAAGATTGTGGGACATGCCCGAGCAAACATGGAACGCGTCGGCCATGCTGTTGAACGGAGTGAAAAGCATGATGGATCGTAGTAGGAGTTTAAACCTAAATGTTGCTCACGATTGCTTCCAAAGATTGAGAGTTAGCTGAGTTCTTGAGTGCGTCGAGCGGTTGAAGTCTTAACTCTTAACGGTACAGTAGTCAAGGCCCGAAGAACAATCCTGAAGCTTTGAGGCAACCTCCACGAGACATCGTGCAGCCTGGATTTCCCAGCCTCCTGTCGTGCTGAGGTTTCGCGGGTTCTGGGTTTCCCGACTTCAGATCTTGTTGTGGTGCTGGAGTTGCTCGCACGTTAGCGATTGGAGATTGGAGGCTTTCGATATCCGCAGCTGAGGATGCAACTTGGTCCCACCAATGCTTCGACTGCGACGTGGACGCAGAGACTTCTGCTGCGGGTCGTCCCACGGGTTTCGTCGTTGCCCTGCTGGTGCTCCTTTCCGGGTTCTTCATGGCAGATGCCAACACCGGCACGGGCACGGGATGCTACGACACGGAGACTCATCGATGCGACTGCACCGTCACCGAAACGCAGTGCCTGGCTCGGCAAGGTCACTGGACTGACACGTGCCGATCCTGCGATGCCACCACCAACGAGCAGCATCCCGATTGCCAGAGGCAATACTCTTGGGGTTGCTTTGACGAGGCCAGTCATGCGTGCGAGTGCACCGTGTCCGAGCGGGCCTGCGACGCGGCGGCGGGCAAATCCTGGACCCATGAGTGCCTAAGTTTGCAGCTTCCTGTATGTTTGGGTCTCTCTTTTTTTTCGGATTCGGAAGCAGCACCCAACCACGTCCACCGAAGTTTCGATGTGGAAAGTATCATAGGGAGAAGGACGGAGCCAATGTTATTTGCAATGGGACACCCTCCTGCAAGGTGCTGGTCGTGCTGCCACGGCTCTGCTTGGGGCTGCTTCGTGCCGGGGAATGGCCCAGAGTCCGGCTGCCACTGCAACTTCTCCTGTCAAGTCTGGTACTAGATCTGCTGCGTAACACCGCGCCATACACACATGACACAAGCACCAGTTGGCCACAGTCCACAAGAGTCTGGATGTCACTTAGTTCACAGATGAGGTTCCGAGCGGCTAGGAGCAGAAATCCAGCATCGATCCCAAACCATTCGTTCTGTTGTTCGACATCGGCAGTTGTGTCAATAAATTCCGGGCTCGAGGGTTGAGGAACATCACATCCAATTCACACCCGGCTCCGCCAGCTTTCCCGGAACTCCCGAATAGTTAGAGCTGCAGAAGCCGAACGTTCAATCCGCGCAGGGTCGCTAGGAAGGCTCTTGGAAGGTTATGCAAGAGACCGTCATGCGATCAGGCAACCTCTACGAGGGCGCGTGCGCCCTTGACTTCCCTGCCTCCAGTCTCATGGTAGAGAGGGGCGGAGGCTTTGCGTTGCATGCGTGTCCGACTTCGGCATGTGTTAATGTTGTGATCCCTGCCGTGCCTGGCAGCTGCGTGTATGTGTGTGTGTGTGTGTCCAACTCTGTTTCCAAGAGACGCGAGTGAGTTAGGCAGCAGGGGGCAGAGGGTCTCATTTCACGGCCTCTGCCAACGAAGCTCCGTGATATTGAGACAGGTAAACGTACCTGCAGTGGTCGGCATGGGCACATTTGTGCAGCTTGCGACTACATAACTGTTGATTGCGGGTAGGAGTGCAGTGCAGTTTCATGTGCAGTTTCATGTGCAGTTACATGAGTGATTCGCGTGTATCCTATGGTAATGCTTCTGATTGCATGTTCTGACTTTCCCGTGCAGCCTCTGACTTTCCCTGACAGCTGCTGACTTTCCCTGACAGTATGCACCGACAGATCAGACCTGCGACACGATGTGTCAAGTGTGCTTCACAACGGCATTCCCTATGGGCGCCGTGTCTCCCAGAGGTAGCTCTTGCGCTGACTTTCCCGATTGACTGTATAAGCATTGGATGACTTTCCCTGATTCTATATCCGTGCTTGCAAGCTGACTTTCTCAGTGAGTCTTTCCCAAATGCCTTTGCCGAAACCTGAATGCTGACTTTCCCACTGACTTTCTATGATCTGATTGACTTTCCCGAATCTGACTTCACCGCTGACTTGTCGCAGGTCTTCGGCTGCAAGTTGAGTACATGAGCTGTACTTTTGGTAGTTGCTGATTCGCCGATCTCTTCTGTTTGCAATGTTGGATTGGGAACAGCAGATGTAGCTCCTGCCTCTGCATCCGCACATGCTGTAAGTGATCGACCTGTTCCACAACAAGATGTTCCACCAGCCATCACTCTACACGCAGATGGTACAGGTTTCCGTCTGTCGTTTCGTTCAGTTGCCGATTTTGCAGTGCGGACCAGAAATACGTCTTTCGTGTTAAACCCCTGCGAGAATCTTACGAGCATCTTGGGAATCGAGCTCTTCTCAGAGGTCATGTGGAAGTAGAGTGGGAACAAGATTCAAACTTCTTCGTGATTCCTGAACTTCGTGGGTTGGAAGTGCGTGATGAAGAAGGGAAGCTGATCCAAGTGTACTCAGCCAACTTCAATTGGGTCGCATTGTATCCCATGTTTACTGCTCTGCGCCCGCGTACCAAACTGCAACTCAGTGTTGCATGTACTTCAATGCAAGTGTATTGCAAGGGATGTGCAAGGGACGTGCAAATGATGCGCAAGGGATGTGCAAGGGTTAGGCAAGTGATCTGCCGGCAGCATGTGTTGTGAATATTTGCAGACACTGTTTTGATTCATGTCCTCAAGGCACTCTGCAGTTCTAAAAAGACTTGTAACGTACAGGTAGCTTCAAATTATGTCGGTGTCCAGTTTTGAGAGCGATGCTGCCTCTGTATCGGACGTGCACTCGTCCGACTTTTCGTCAGACTTTGCAGTGTCGGACCAAGCTGGAGTGGTTCAGTACATGTTTTTGCTTGCTTGTGCGACTCGTAGACTGCAGTTTCGCGACATGAGTGCGGTTTGCATATGTTGGAATGCGTAGACTCTGCAGTTTCGTGACATGAGTGCGGTTTGCATATGTTGGAATGCGTAGACTCTGCAGTTTCGTGACAGGAGTGCGGCTCGCCTATGTTGGAATGCGTAGACTTCAGTTTCGTGTCATCGGTGCAGTTCGCCTATGTTGGAACGCGTAGACTCTGCAGTTTCGTGACACATGAGTGCGGTTCGCCGATGTTGGAATGCGTAGACTCTGCAGTTTCGTGACATGAGTGCAGTTCGCCGATGTTGGAATGCGTAGATTCTGCAGTTTCGTGACATGAGTGCGGTTCGCCGATGTTGGAATGCGTAGACTCTGCAGATTTGCGACATGAGTGCGGTTTGCTTATGTTGGAATGCGTAGACTCTCTGACATGAGTGTGGTTCGCCTATGTTGGAACGCATAGACTCTGCAGTTTCGTAGACTTTCTGCTTTGAGACGATGCTGGAAATGATTGCTGAGAGTATTCTTGCCATGCAGCCCTATCCGATTGAATGACATAACGGAGAGTCCAGCAGTGCAGGTTTGCCGTGCAGCAAGTGTGAGCGCATACTCGTTTTGTAATGGCAGACGAGGTCATTGATTGCAGTCTCCTGTGCATGGACTTTCTGTAGAGTGTTGGTGGATGCCCAATTGCTTTGCATCCTCGGTTTTGAACAATAAGAAAGCCCAGCACGATGCTGTATATTGGCTCTACAAGCGTCTCAGACTCTGCAGTTTCGTGACATGAGTGCGGCTCACCAATGTTGGAATGCGTAGACTTCAGTTTTGTGTCATCAGTGCGGTTCGCCTATGTTGGAATGCGTAGACTCTGCAGTTTCGTGACACATGAGTGCGGTTTGCCGATGTTGGAATGCGTAGACTCTGCAGTTTCGTGACATGAGTGCAGTTCGCCGATGTTGGAA